TTGGCTTCTGGTCACCTAATCTTCGTCAAGATATGGCGTCCATATGCCAAGAGTGTGAAGTTTGCGCGCGATTTAAACATCCCACTCACAATCCCGGATAAGGGCTGCAACCGATTTCCACCGGCTATCCGAATTAGCGCCTTGGAGTCGACATCGTGGCCCTCTTCCCACAATCGCGGAAGGGAAATCGACACCATTTAGTGATGGTCGACTTTTTCACCAAATGGGAGAAGGCAGCCCCCCTGCCAGACCAGACAACGGCAACGGTCTCAGAGGTTACCCTGTGTGCGTGGTTTGCCCGATTCGGGGTGCCAGATCGTATTCACTTCGACCAAAGTTCCAATTTCGGAAGCCTCCTAGTACATGAACTGTGTAGTCGACTCGGCATACAGAAAAAAGGATTAAGCATATCACCCACAAGTCAATGGACAGACGGAAAGAACAAACAAATGGATTTTGTCCCTATTACGAACTTTCATAAATACAGCCTACAGCAACATCTGGGACACCCTTATCCCGCATTGTTTCCTCTCCTACCGCAGTACAATGCACAAGTCAAAAAGGCTTAACTCCCACGATATTGACTTATGGCCGGGGACCTCAACTCCCTCTAGACTCCTATCTACCTACCCCACGACCTAAGTTCCGACGCCCCCATTCTATGTCACGAGATTGATGGAGATCCACCAAGAATGTTAACGGCTGGCGCACACACACCTGCAGCAATCTCAACTATCTCAGGCCCCCTTTTACGACCGGCACATAGGCGTTTGACCGTTCTAACCAGGCAATATGGCGTGACTTCAAAGGGCCAGTCCTCTAAATGGACAACCTAGTAAATTCCACAGTCCGTGGTCGGGCCCGTTCTCCGTCGCTCAGTATTTACTCGACGATGTTTATCTAGGAAGCGAGGCTGACAACCCGAGCACTCTCATCGTCCACGAATGAAGGCGAAATTACGAGTTCCAGGTGCATGCATAAGTGAAGAATAAGATTAGAGCACCTGAACACTTTGTTGATTGTCCTGAGCTTTCAGACTCAGAAGGAGACCATCGTCAGAGGTTGTCCACTTTAAACAGGTTAAAGGCGGGTCAATCCCTCGAACCTCCTGACGCACCTCTCATAATTCCTAATGACAATATCCCTGTTGGCCAAACCAACGAAGTTTCTCCTTCCAACCACTGAGGATTGTGGCTTTTCAGGCAGGGAGGCTTTGTCACGCACGCCACACTTCAGTTGTACTTTGTTTATACATTCCTGGTCTGCCCAATTGACTATAACTTCGAAAAGAGCCTGGCCCGTCTTCCACTTTCGTCAATCCGGACTTCGTGGGTGCTTTATTATCAATACTTATTAAATATACGTCGTCGCTTTCCACGTTGTGCGTCACTGTGTGTGGTGTGAACTGCCTGTCTCCATCTCACTTGAAATATTACATTGATGTAATCGCGTGATGGTAAAGACGACCGGTATCCCTTCCTCTCACTACCGCCGACACCCCCCCCCCCCTAACAACGTTACGTCGTTTTCGTTGCTCGCTCGCTCTCCCTCTCTCGCTCTACGTCGGCTCCCCCTCGTGCTTCCCTGAAGTTGCCTAGTGCGCCGCATCCACACGGGTGGTTTAGCTAGCATGTCAGGGTCACCTCTCTATCCAGACAGGTTATCTCATTGTTGTCTCTCATTCTACATGTAAATTAACAATTAAGATACGTATTTCTCGTGCCCATCTCGTTCCACTATACTTTAACCATTACTTGACTTACCTTCGCCTACAAGTGAACGAATATCACGAAATGCTAACGGCTCCGTTTAGATAAATCGCCGCCAGGATTTCTTCCCAGCGCTTCGTTACTTTGGTGTATGCTATCCTTGACATCTTCGGCCGCTGTATTTACGACGCGACGTCTTATAACGTACCACAAGTTCGATAGGGTTGTTTGAACGATCTGAGGTCACATTGGCGCGGATCCCGGATAGGGCTGGTATAACGCAACAAGACTTTGCCTAATGCTTGTACATCGTTTGTTTCTTACCTTGTAGGGAGACAGTCAGTGAATGCCCTGGCTGGCCCGACCGAAGCTGACACGGACGAGCCGGTCGCTTTGAACGGGCCAGGTAAAAAGCGCGGGTGATTGAAGTTGTTACCGGGATGATAATAAACACGTTCCGATCTACTCGCTTCTTTTCTCGTCGTCGCTCGTTTGAATGTCATTGCCCGGTGCTCCCTGTTGCCACGGGTTTCGCCTGCTTTGTAATTCCTTTCTTAGGAGGTAGTCTGGCCTCGGACCTCAATCCACGCTACAAATTGGTGGCAGCGGTGGGATATATTGTCCGGGTCTGGGTGTATAATCGAGGGCGAGGGGATATACCCAAGAACCAGGGTCTGGCTCTGCAGAAGTTTACATTTATCTGTCCGTAACACAAGACCCGCATCTTTCAGTCGCAATAAAACCTCCCGAAGGTGTGCATTATGTTCCTCAACCGTCTTTCCGTGGACTGTAATATCGTTAAGGTAAATCAAACAGGCCGTCGGGGTTATATCACGCAGCACCGTTGTCATAAGCCGTTGAACTGTGACCGGAGCATTTGCCAGGACTAAGGGCATCATATTGAACTCATAGAGGCCAGAGGGCACCACAAAGGCCGTTTTCGCCCGGTCGGCTGGGTGAACTTCAACTTGCCAATAACCAGATGCGATGTCTAGGGTAGAGAACCACGTAGCTCCTGACAGAGCGTCAATGGGGTCATCGATGCCAGGCAGCGGAAAAGAGTCACGTTCGGTTACGGCGTTCAACCGACACCCAAGACGAGCCAGGGAGTTCGTAGCTTTCTCGGTCTTGCGTCCTACTACGGGAAATTCGTGCGTGGGTTCGCTGGCATCGCCGCACTCCTTCACCGGCTGACCGAAAAGTCTAGACCTTTCCTGCGGAATAAAGAGTGTGAGGCAGCTTTCAATCAGCTTAAACGTGTTTATTATCCTCTTGGTAACAACTTCAATCAAATTCGCATTTTCTCCGGCCCGTTGAAAGCGTCCGGCTCGTCCGTGTCAGCTTCGGTCGGGCCAGCCAGGGCATTCACTGACTGTCTCCCTACAAGGAAAAAAGAAACGATGTACAAGCATTAGGCAAAGTCTTATTGCGTTACACTGGTGTAACGTCCCTTGAACTGAACAGGGTTGATCGAGTGTTGTGAAACTTGGAGCGCGGATCCAGGATGAAGATGGTGTCACCGCGTGTGTGCTACCCTCAACGTCTTCAGCCGCTACACTGGTGTGACCGTTTGCCAGTAAAGATGGCCAGTGTCCCTTCCCTCCCTACCGCTGATACCTCTTCCTCCGCCCTCGCCGTCCATTCGTCACTCGTCTCTCTTTTGGTCAGCACACTCCCCGGCCCTTACGCGCGGTTCCCGACAGCGCTGCAACCCCCACTGGCGTCTAACTGGTACGACGTGACCACCTCCAAATCCAAATAGACCATACGTACATTACCCCGCCATTTTCTTGTATTTGTTATTTTCCACTTCTACTCTATCAGTTTGTTATCGTAACTAGGAACCCCTTTCCTTATTACATCCCTATATGCTTGTCTGATGTGGTGTTTAACGACTTAGTCAAGTGTTAAGTAACCGGAAAGCTGCCCTAGGTGGTCTATCTGACCGTGTGTGTACTAACCACGACGTTCTTGGCTGTCACGTTCTGCAGCCTTCAGTTCGTACATAAAACGAGGACGACACCAACTCACTCCGAAGGTCATGAGCTAGTAGAACACACCAGTCGCACGCTCATTAATCTTTCGAAAGCAATTGTTGTGGACCACAACCCACATAACTGGGACGCCCGTCTACCGTTTGCAGTGATGGTATATATGGTTACTATTCATGCTTAAACTGGATGCGCACCCTTCCACATGCTTAAGGGTCGTCATTTCAGATTACCTTTGGACTTGCAGCCTCCGCTTCCAACACCAAAACAGTTCACCGCCCATAACTATGTAATGGATTTACGAGGAGCACTTTGTGTCACTCACACTTTCGCACGCAGCCACATCACAGCCTTTTATGACCGCTAGAAAGTCTATTTTGATCGGAATGCTAACGGAACTCCTTATCAGCTCGGCGACCTAGTTTTACGCTACAGACCAGTGCCACCCATTGGCACATCGTCCGAATTCTTTCACCTCTGGACAGGTCCATTCGTGATTTCATAGGTTATGACACCGGCTACCAACGTTCTACGCGACGCTCAGATGCCCGAAGGCTTTACCTTGACAGTTCATTTCGACAAACTGTACAGGGGTCGTCTACCCCGTATGTCCGCAGATTTGCCCCCCATCCTGCCACACCTTGTTCGCCAACCCTCAAATGAGGTAAGGATTGGCGAAGACGTTAACCCCATACCAGCGGCCCTGGGGACAGGAGCTCCACCTGGAGGTGGAAGGGAAAAGTAACGGAGCAGACTGGGAACTACGGTCGACTTTGTCTAAATAAAAAAACCACCGTTTTTAGTTTGTGTTGACAGGTAGAATACCGTGGCTGCAACCAGACAGCTTCACGTGAGGATTGCAACTGTAATCATAAGTGTGAGTGCACAGCATATTATTTCATGGTTAACTTATTTGTACGACGTTCGAGTTTAAAGAAGGCGTTCTTTGTGATACAGTCTATATTATCTGGGACGCATGTTTAATGACCTACTTGTAGAAGGCAACAAAACCCTTACACCCAACTCTGGACAGAGAAGTACACTCCAACCAGACTAACGGCATGGTATTGGACCGAAGGACATCTATTCGATATACTAACTTGGCGGGTTCGAGTACTACAATCGTTTCGTGCTTCATGACGTCTTCCTCGAGAATAATTCCATAATCCTCTTTGCCAAACCACTGAGTCGGCTTATCATAATTTTGTTTCGATTGACAATTAAATAAACGTTTCCACATCCGGTTTACATATTTTCATACTCCATCTTGGTTGTTGTGCTAACCAAGTGTGATGAGATTATGGAATCAACACCTTTCTTAGCAACAGAAGAACACCAGAGCGGTGCTATCGAAGATAAGGACTTCGTGACCTCGCATCTCCCAGACGAAAGATTCCCGGGCGTTGCGCCTTCACAAGGATGTCGGGTTTCAACGCCGGACCCGCAGGATTTCCCACCCTGTATGCGATCCATACGTGTAAATTACTCTAGGTCCGGGGAACTGACAAGTGCGAAAATACGAGAGCTTATGGAAAAAGCCCAACAAACCATTGCGAAGAGGAAGCAGGACTTAGGGCTGGTTCGTTGCCTACTTATTTGACACGCTCTTAGTCTAATGTTCCCGCAACACCCTATATGGTGCCACAGGGTCTGATAGCAGATCCTGAACGGGCTGAAAAAGCCCGGAAGGCGGCTGAATTACAAGCGAAAATAGCTGCAAAGCTTGATACTGGAATTTTGAAAACTGATCCCAGTCCCGAAGAGGACATAGAAAGGTAATCATACATTGCAGTATTCACATCTTTAGGAAACGGAAGGAACAAATGAGGTAGTTTTTTATTCCAGGTTTAGCAAGCAACACGCTAGGAACCTGATCTTCGACGAGCATGGCAAAACCCTTGATGCCGTAACTGGTGAAGAAGTCCGAATCCCACAGTTCGTCCCCACTTTGAAGGTTAAACCAATTGTTTAACATCCCATTATGTTTAGGCCAATCTACGCGCCCAAAAGGCCCAAAATTTCAAGGAGGCCTTGGAAGTTACCACCCAGAAGAAGCCCGTCAAAGTTTCTACCTCTAGCTCTTATTTTGATCCTCGTCTCTCGTGAGTCATTCCTTCTCGTTACTTGCTTTTAGGCTAAAATCTGCAATGCGTCCGAAGAGAACTCTTTCTTTTTATGAGCCTGGAAAGTTTATTAAGATTGGACAGCGTTTGAGAACCAAAGCACAGCTTGAGAAACTTCAGGAATCCGTGGCCTTGGCAGCAAAACGCACTGGTATAGCAAGTGCGGCTAAGCTGGCGACGATCCAGCCGAAAAGAAGCATTGACGAGACCGTAGTTCCTGAGGTCGAGTGGTGGGACTCTTATATTCTGAAGGACGGGGTCTCGAGGTTTGTTCCAATCAGCTCTTATTTGCAATGAAGTTACTCAGCTCTAGACCAGGCCATTGATGCTTCTTCAATAGTAAACGATGCGTGGATCACAAATCTGGTCGAACACCCCATTAAGATGAAGGCACCCACCGAACTTTCAAAACCACCAGAAATTCCTCTTCTCCTAACCAAAAAGGAAAGGAAGAAGTTACGTCGCAAAAATCGCCAAGACGCCCAGAAAGAACGCCAAGAACTCGTAAGGCTTGGATTACTAGCACCCCCAGAACCAAAGGTGGGCAACTCAGCATCTTATTTTAGTGTGTTTTTTTTTATCACAAACAATTTAACTTTTTCCATACTTAATATTAACGTAGCGTGGACTTCGGTTCGACTTCTTTCGGTCACTTCGTCTTGTTGGTTTTATCAGACGAGTTAGCCTCCCTTGATTTGGTTGTCCGAGCTGGTGCTCTAGAACCACAACTTCTAAGGAAACGTTCGCTCTGTATCGGCTAAATATCTAGGGTGGTAAAATCAGTACTCACCTAGATCACATAGTCTTCCCAATTCTACGCTCAAACTTAAGTACATTTAGGTCATCACCTAGCTTCTCAACGCCAGAGACTAAACTCTCCAACACATGATTACAATAAGGAAAAGTACAATGCCAACCCTTTTCAGTTAAAAATATCCAGGTTCGTGCATACGTACACCCGTAACCCTGCCTGCGGCAGGTAGCCAATTCAGGTGTACGCTTGCGATAGTCAAGTCATATACAGAAAGACATTATCCCGACATTTAATGGATTAGAAAGGCAATTGACCTGGGGACTGCTACAACTCAGGGGGACCGGGTTCGTGTTAAAAATTTCCTGTATTGTAAGGGGCCCGAGGAAACTCATCTCGTCACACTTAAAATTTTGAGCAGTAGACTCGACATGCAGTGGCGATAAGATCGTTTTTTCCCAAGTTACTCGGCATAAGTAAGAAATTCGGTCCCATTTTTAGTGCTACGCAGGCTTTGGACCGAATGCGTGCAACTATGAACGCGGGTAGTTATTCCCAAGTTTTTTAAAATAATACTTCTACCGATTGTTGTTTTACAGCGGTATTGCGAGACTTCATCTTTATAGCAGCGAACTTCTCGTTGTAGGTGAAACTAGCCAACTTGATGCGCGTTTTGGGCACGGATGCTGTCCAGGATCCTAGTAAAGTCGAAGCTTATGTGCGCAAACAAATGGAGTCCAGAAAGCGCGCACACGAAGCTGCCAATGCTGCCAGAAAACTCACAAAAGACCAGGCTCGCCACAAGCGCATCCGTAAAATTCGGGAGGATACTTCGATTCGGACTTGCGTTGCAGTTTACAGGTTTAAATTCGAAGCCTACTATTGTTAAATCTTCCTGTTGCTTTATCAAACAGTCGGTTTTTACACATTTTTCTCTCACACCGGTTCCCACCTAGCGACTTGTCAAGGGTGGCTTGAAGCTTTATGTGATCTTGTCCAAGCGTTCTAGACGAGTCGAAATACATCTTCAAATGAGCAGAGTAGTTTCTAATTACAGCGGACTGACAAACCACAAAGCTTCTGCAGTCGAAGGACGTGAGTCGACGGACTGAATAAGACTACCGAACTAATCTCGTGTGGACGCGCCTATTAGTTGTTTATTGATTGTCTGTACTAGTTTTAGTATTTAAAATTTACATTTTACGAGTTGGACTTTTTGAATTTTTGACGTGGAAGTACTGTTTAGTGCACCTTATCCAATTGGACGCCAGATTATTTGCTGCCGCTTGCTGTAAGCGTCTGCTCACCCCTGGTTATCGGGCCTCTTGCATTGACTCAGGATATAGACGGAACTAGGCGTTTATTAGTGCATCAGAAGCATTTAAAGAATGTTTCCGCAGCTCAAGCCGGCCACATACAAGCAATTATTCTAGCGCGACATCCTTTTCAAAATTGATCTCATATAAACAGTTTAGTCTCTACCACAGCACACTTGTATAGATCACGATCTTTCTTTATTGACAACAAAATCAGAGTTAAGGATTTGTCCAATCCATCTCATCGCTTCAAAGTGGAGACCAACGCCAACCAGCTGTTTATGACGGGTTTCGTTGCCCTCAATCGCGACTGCAATGTGGTGGTTGTCGAAGGTGGACCGAAACAACAGAAACGTTTCAAGCGGCTCATGCTTCACCGTATCAAGTGGCTTGAAAATAAAAGGGGCGCAGTTGACCCCTCCAAGGTCGAAGCCGCAGCCAACTCAGGCCCATGTTCCCTTGTATGGGAGGTAAGCCGCATCCCGCCTTTCTCCTTCATCCCAGTTTGTGTTTCTTAGCGGCAGTGCTTTTAATAAACGCACAACGGGCGTGCAGGTGGTCAGCTACCTTTTGGACGTGATATAACAAGAGTCGGTGCTCAACATCTCTTGTTTGCCAGTTTTCTTTGTCGAACTCCCCTGACGTCATATTTAGCCTTGTCAAAATACTTGACAATTTCCCAGTGATCCCCCGAAGAAAGTGAAAATCCTGTTTAAGTGACCGGATGTTAAGTGGTAGTGGGGTACGGTTGTGGTCTTGGTCTGCATCATGTGCTCTTTCGTGGTCTCTGCATGCTTCTCTTAAGGTCGTTCAAGGAATAAATATCTTTGATTTAGGCAAATGCTAGAGTATTCTTTTGCTACTCCACATTTGCGATGCTAAAATGTAACCTAAGCTAGATTGCGTGTAACGGTGATGTGAGAAAATTTATCGAACGTGCCAGCTATTTGTTACCAACGGAAGTCTAAATATGCGGCGCCTGTTTTAACTGCTAGATCAAGATTTCTCTGTAGACAACTGATAATGACGGAATCCTGAAGTTGAGATGAACGATGGTTAGATTCCCAGCTTAGTAATTAGAGGAGAAAGGAACGTTTTAACGAGTCCGCTTACCGACTGACATTTCAGGCGGTTGGGTCTGTTGCTCACCGTCAAATCTTGCGTCACACAAAAACCGAACTAAGCTTCGTGCGATTCGGTTCGTCAGTCCTGGGCTTATCGATTATTTTACTGTTTTCGCTGCCTTATCTATTTGCCACCACTTGTTATGATTGATATCACGAGAACAGTCAAAATTTCTTCGATGGGTGCTCCGAGCATTCTTCTTGAATAGTTGTCCCTTGGTAGAGGGGCGCTCACCGATCGTTTTACGGAGCTCACTCGTTCCGGTGGGTATGACTGGCTCATGACGGCTAATAAATCAGAAATGGCCTTTCCAATCCCCTTTGTCGGTATTGCTATTCTGCCTATATCCGAGTTCAAAAGACATGAGGCGCAATTTAGTCCGTTGTTTGACAGAGAGCAAGGAGGATCTGCCCGGCTGATAGCATTGAGGAAGAACTTGAGATTGTTGAAAATCTCTTTCGCCAGAACGGGTACCTCGATCGATTCATTGCTAAGTACGTGATCGAAAGGCCCCCAACGCTGACGACAGAAAAGAAGCTTCTCATCAGGGTCTTGTTTCAAGGAGACGCGCCAAGTGGACTTCTAAGAAGACGCCTAACTCAAGCTGTATCACGCACCTTTCCAGCGGCCGACGCCCATGTACTCTTCTCCGTACATGTGGGGGCCGACACGCATATGGCACGCGTAGATGCGAACTCGGCCTCACCAGCCACTTTGAATTTTCTAGCCGTTGGTATGTGTTGGGTATGGGAAGGAGTGTGAGCTGGATACTCCCACAGTCTTCCTCATCACAAGCCGATTTACGCTCAAGTCGCCTCAACGCCCTCCGGGCTACGGGGATTCTCGTCATTTGGGCGGACAAGCTAACGTGTGACAGTGGTGGCCAGGATTACCAGTGTGGGCAGTCACTACTTAGAGGCTGTGATTGACATAGGCCAAGTGGTTGTTTATTTATCTCTGTCGGCCCCAGTCTTCATTTCGTTATGCCGACGGCGTCCACCCTGTTATCTCCACGTAAGCATTGGCGAAAAACCTGGGAATTAAGGCCGGTCGATAGAATTGACTGATTACACGGGCGGTCACTACCTCCGTTATCCAAAACAAACGAAGGAGCGAAAACAGCGAAAAATTAACGGCCACAGAGCTGACAAACTCGGAAAACCTGCGAGGTTAAGTTTGGTTTTTTGCGAAGCACTGGCTTTGGCGATGAGCCCCAGACACATCCAAAGTATTAGCTAACCAATAATGCAGTCCCACTCTTTCCTTTTATACTAAAAATAGGTTTCGAATTTTTTGCTGCATGCACTTTCTGACTTCTTGCAGTAATGGTTACTGTCTACTGTCGGGCGAAACTAAAAGCCTGCAACCATCTTCTGGAATACCACTCCCTCGCACCCACTGGTATCACCAGTTACCTAATACTTGCCTACTCTTTTCGTCTGTCATCACGAGTCGACCGCAATCCTGTACACCTCCCGTAAAACCCCGAAACTTCTCATGCTGGGTATCGTGTCCTTTCCCAAATTATACTAGTTGCTAACTTTTTCTTAAACTTGATAAACATGGCAAAAACAACGCATCTGATTTGTGGAGCGCGGTCAGAAGAGTAGAGATTTGAGTAAAGCTGTTAACTCCACCATTTAGGATGACCACGCAGACCGACTATTTCACAAACGCTGTTATTTTTCTTCATGTTTCAGGGAACAGTGAAACAGCGGGCCTTCGAGGGCATGCAGGTGAAGGTTTGTCCAACTGAGCTCTTTGCCCGCGAGTTGTTTCGGAAGCGTGACGTCGAACACTACTGGGACATGGCTTACAGCAGTGCCGTTCTCGAATCTGTCGGCCAGGCCGTTGACTAATATTTCCACTACCTCTGTATTTTTACTTTTTGGCGCTTCCAACTCCCCTAAGAGTTATGTAAATATATTTGTACCGTTCAACTGCCCGCCTTACTCTCTTAGTTTTGTGACTCGCGACCGTCCATTCTATCAAATAACTGCCTTTCTGTCTTCAAGGTTTTCTTGAAACGCGTAAGTTGAACTGTTATGCGTTGAGTTTGCGCCGAAGCGTTATGTTGGCCTTGTAACATTTTTGATAATTTTTAAATCTTGAGCTCTCCCTTAACCGTCGAGCGTCATTAACCTCTGAGTGGAATTACAAGGAATGAAAGGCACTCGATTGTCCAGTCGATCTCTGCCACAAGGACTGGCGATTTCTGTTTCAACTAATAAACAGCTCTTAGGCACGCTGAAAGTGGCCCGTGAGTTCGGGCGGAAACTTCAACGCTTTATTCCTCTGGATATGCAAGTTCCATTCTGTATTGTAGAGATAGGTTTAAGTCTTCCGTTCTTCCTCAACCTAAGCTACACCCGTCATGGTCTGTGAACGGATTAAGTCAACGGCTTTTTGATGTAGATTCGTGGGAATAGCGAGGTCTATCCTAAGACAAAGCCCTCTGTCCTTGTGGACTTCCCCATACACGACAGCCCGCAACGTCGACGAACAAATGCCATATAACCCTCAACTCCTCTAGCTTAAGACTGAACTGGATACGGTATGTTTATCGTCCTATTCGTTTTCATCAATCATGCTGGGCCAGAAGGACCTATGATTTGAGCCAGAACTTGCCTTTCACCGCCCTTTTGCACCAAACCACGACGAGCGGGTGTTTCCACGTGGATGCGGTTTGAACTAGTCATGAGAGGCTTATTTATGTTCGCAAGGTATGTCGTAGAGCCTAGCAGTTGCCGTCATTGGTTGTCTGTCGGGCTAAATGCATGTTTTCGAGGGCTTCAGCAGACTAATGACTGGTGGGAACCGAGGCCAGTTGACACTACTTTCGCTCCAACGGCGTAGAAACTCCAGCGGATCTTGGGATGGCACCGAACTCGGACTAGTTGGTGCTGCGTTGCCATCAGGCCACGAGCAGATCATTGGACGGGTCTGTGGAGATTGGAAAACGCTGGCCACTTTCTTATCTGCAGGGTTCACTGCCGTTTAAAACTGCGCTTGACATTTAGATTGAAAGCGTGACACCTAAAATCTCTGGCCTTGTTTAAATCAAAAACAGACTAAAGGCCTTTCGGCCGCTCTAATTCGTCGGCCGACTTCACCGACGCCGAGGACCCTGTCCGGTGGTACATGTCCCTTGCCAGCGAACGTTTCGCTGGATATTCAACAGCCAGCTGCAGCCTCAGAGACCTTCGAATCTGCTGAGAAACTATCCATACTCGGAGAGAGGCCCACGCCTGAGCACAGTCCGCCAGTTAAACACAAGCGGCTTCCGAAGGTGACGAAGGTCAGTGCTGATAGCGCAGTGCTTGCGGACCTTGATAGCCTGACGAGTGAGCTGTTGAGGAAAACCGAGGGCTGGCCGGTCGAAAAATTGTACGATTTCTACGCTCCAACGTTTGATCGCTCCATGAGCCCTCCTGAAGACGATATCGTGAGTTAGTTGACCTTTCATGTACCTGCACATTAAAATTTTAGAGGTCATGAGGGTGATTTCAATGCCTCTAGATATAGTATATTGCGGTGGTTTCGTGATTCGCTTGAAGGGAGAGGAAGTTTTGGACAGTTCAGTGAGTTTACATTGGATGCAGCAGCTCCTCTATGATGAACTCCTGGGTTTACATTAGCGTTATCTTATGTAGGAAGAAGCCAGTAGATCGTGATTCGTTTGAATAGCTATGTAGAGGAAGCCTTGAGAGAATAGTTTCAAACCGGACCTCAGCTAACAGTTTTGCTTATGGGAATCAGGGCCGATTTTCTTGCTGCTTGCACTGCCGTCGCTAAAAATAACACCCGTACCCGAATAACGGTTTGGCGTCATCGTCAAGCAAGCGAGATATGGGTAACATGTAACCGCAGGGGAAGCGGGACCGGTTTTGTTTAGCTGCACAACCCTCTGGCACGTTTAGAGAACAAAAACATCAAGGCTTATGGTGGCATTTTACTAGACCAGGATTCATTTTGCCAACCCGGATAACCAGCTGCCACTGGCGGTGTCTTGGGAATGTAAGTAACTTTTTTAACGAGAGGACCTGGTGGATCCTTTAATGTGTGGGCAGTGACGCTCGGGAACTCCATCTTGGCTACTATCGCCTATTCTAGTCATGCGCAGACGGGAAAAGTGGGTTATTGGTCGAACATTTTGCTGTCATCAGTAGTTAGTTTGCCACTTGTCCATGCGCATATCGTGGGTCTGAGATTGTCATGAGACACACCAAACCACGTTCAGGTTACCTAGCCTTTATCACAGTTGGTGCATCGTCTAAACGTGGCATCGCAGACTAAGTACTAGCGTAACTGTTGACTTTCGGATTTAGCCACACACTCACCTATCGTTTTATGCTACTTTGCGTACGCTGCAGTCTCCTCTTATTCGTATTTTACGCAGAATAATTGCCAATTAGCTGGTTTGAATTCGTCCTAGTCCGAATCAATGCTAGCTTAAAAAACTTCTAATACTTTGAGGAACCTACATTAATCCGGACTTTAACCATCCCAGCATGATTTACTGTGGCTAAGATGGATTTCGGTTGGCGTAGGTGATGTCCTCTTCTGCTCCCTGTCAATGAATACACAGCGATGGCTCGTCCTCTGTGTTTTCTTCACAGACTGAAGGTGCTGCCGTCAGCTCGTGTGGTGTGCTACCGTTGTATGTGGTGCAGGTCTCGGAAGCATTGCTGATTGACAAGTGTTTATACATTCAACTGCCAAAAGAATCCTGCATCAGGCGCAATTTCCCGACGAGAAGGGCCTAAGCCTTCACAAAAGATCGTTTTTCTGAAAACTTTGAGTGTTAGCTCACTGTCGCGAGATTTTTCGCGCATGGAATATTAGCCTACTGGAAACCTGTAACTTTACTTTCGTCCGTTCCGCCGCATCTCCACTTATATCGGAGACACATAAGGCCTTGACAGATTGCAGAATGGGAAACGCGCAAACAAGGTGGGGGATGGAGAAAATTTTCCAATTGAGCCTTCTGGAACCGAATTCGGTCTTAGATACTGGCCTCGTAGTTTGACTCTCAAATATGCGGAACAAACCAATCATCTTTCAAGAAGTAAGAATGTTTTTTTTATCAAGTTATAAAGCAGATTTCTCCTAAGTCAAGTACAAAGTAATCCTTTTCCTTAAGGATTCTTTGTAGTAGT